AAGATTATCGCATAATATCGTCGCGAAAAGATCGCTTGTCCCCATACTTCGTTTTGGCAATTCGTTTTTGTGTCTGCATGTTCAACCAGAATACCGCGGCTGTTCAGCGAAATTTAATTAATTTTTACCATATCTGCAACGTAGCCGCGAATAACGAGAATCTTAGAATAGAGCCGTGATAGCTTAATTATTCAAGAAATATATCTCACAATTTTAAGCGAAGTCAGTAACGTAAATCAATGACATTAATTACAGATGAAAATGTAATACAGATCAAATTATAATATAGACAAAAGAAAATAACGTCGCTAAAATTACAGCTATTTTCATGGCGTCAACTATATCCTTTTTTGTTGTTCTAACAAAACAGCAATAGTAGTAACAGGCATATAAGTGTAGTAATAAGCATATAATGTTAGTATCACTGACATTATGGTAACTGACATTATGGTAACACTTACTACAAAAATAGCTTTCCTAACTACAATTATTTCACTGTGCAACTATAATTAAAGTACTGAACACTTTCTCTCCCGAGTAGATCTATTTAAAGAGCACCGCGTCATAGAGTAGCGCGTATCTTTTTATCCGAATTCTATAATTCACGAAATTACGGATGTCGCAATAATTCTTTTCCGAACAGCGAGAGGTGGTGAAACGCGACAAATTTTAAATCGCGATTTTATTTTCCGAATGAGTTCCAAATTTCATCAGTGACGTTGTCATCGGCGATCATAGTTCGCGTTATCGTCGGTTCACTGTGAATGAAACGCGGAATCTGGAGCGCGGAAGTTATGACGATCGTGGCATACGGTCGACTAGTCGGTCGCTGGACAGCAGAACGAGCACGTGAACGCGTTGTAAAAACGAGTCAGCGATGACTGCTACTGCTGTTGCTGCTGCTGCTGCTACTGCTACTGCTACTGCTGCTGCCGCTGCCGTTGCCGCTGCCGCTGTTGCTGCACCGCTACCGCGGCCGCTACTGTCACTGCGAAGCCACCGTTTATTCGCGAAGAAACGACATGTCGACCCTACGAGGTCGTCGTTCTACGTACGACCGGATAGCTTAGCGGTACTTTACTTCTGAGCCTTGAAATCGCCGTTGATTAATTCTAAGAAATCCTAAAAAATCTAGGCTCGTGATAGAATCATACCAATGTGTGTGTGATCTCGGGGGAGAAACCTCGCAGAAAATGCAAATATGCAAAATCGCCGCAAAGAAACGCAGCGCGAATCGCAACGGAACATTTGTACGAAACGCAACAATGTGGTTATCAATGTGGAATAGCATTGCAAAAGCGATGGCTAGGAAAAATTCATGAAGCAAATAATTTGTTGATTGTTGTTGATATCGTGTGTGTGTCTTTAGCTTCATATATAATTGTAAGAAAATGATTTCGTAATTTTCATCTCGTCATTCGCAGCTGAATTGCACGACTGCGAATTCGTGTTTAACGATAAAAAAGAAATCTACACACGTACATCTTCTAAGGTTGTTTTTCAAACGATCATTGTCTTAATCACCATCGGCAGACGCCGAGTTCAAGCCGAGCCACGTATAACTATAACGGTAGTTGCGAAACCGTTTTGCCTCGAGCGAAACCGTACGCTATTTCGGGTTACGAACTGCGGGGTATGAGACTCTCGATCGTTCACAAAGTGGGTGTCCCGATCATCAACGCGTCGAAACGAACGGTACAATCTTAGGACAAGGTATCTGCCAAAATAGTACGGAGAAAAAGATGTATTCCGGAATTGGACATACGGACGCGCAACATTATTGTGATAAAGTGATATTCGGCGTGCGAATATATGTAATAATCATCGATTTTCTCAGGCAAGATCTAGCCAGAAATTTCGCGACCTCAAAATGTCAATTATCGCGCCATATTTTGCATAGACAATCTGGAGACACTCCAGGAGATATCGTGACGATAACTAATCGTTGCATCATGACAGAGGATTCTGTATATACTGATAAATGAAATTAAAAAGAATAAGAAACCATATAATCAATTGCTCCTTGTTCAAACGAAATAAAATGAATACTTATGGCCATTCCCACAAAACGAATTAGTCGCAGTTATTAATTAGACGCAAAATCGGTCGCGATGCTAGATTATCGTGTCATTAGTTGGCCTATGCGTGGACAGTCGGACGTACAAACGCGGACTGTTCCGTCGCGACTCACGTCGAGATTTGAAACAATCATTTTTCTTCGCAACGGCAAAACAAAAACGCATGATGAATCGGCAGCTTTTTTTGTGACCGCCGCACTATTATTTCTCTTCGTTTCCTGCAATTAATTAGGTGCTCGCGGATCCATCCTTACACCGTCGGCAATCATGTAACGCCGGCGTGCGTTGCGCGAGACCTTTTGCCGATCATATACGCAACTCGTTCTGCTCATCTAACTCGTGTGAATCCCCATGTCAGGGATTTTAAATGTTTTATTTATACCCGTTCGAATGAATCGGTGAAAATGTTTCCGATTCACTCGGTTAACGGAGTGTTTCGCCGTTGGACCAGAGGTCCACTACAAATTATTAGTCTGAGAGGAATATGAACTTCTGCAAAATTTACGCAACATTCGTTAGTTGACACGATTTGCCCACAAATAATTTTTTTTTCCTCAGATTATTCTTCACGCTACGTATTGGTGTCGATCGATTGTCTAAATTGTCTGTGGAAGAATCGTGAACAAGAATGAATACCGCGTCAATTTCATAAAAACTCGCACTTTAAAGTTGCACTAATTTTCTAATTATAGGAATACTATTATAGGGTAACCAAGAAAGTTTGTGCGAATTTGTATATTAAAAATTAAACATGGGCAGAAATTTTCAAAAAATTTTATAGTTGATATATGAATATTGTAATTGATATATGCATAAATAATTGATAACTCTTTGTCATCAATAACGGGAGGTTTTCCTGAACGTGATACATCTTCAAATGTGATTCATCACTAGAAGAAAAATTTTTAAACCACTTCCGTGCAGTCCTTTTATTAATAGTACATACATCTTCTCCAAACGCTGCGCATATCTTACGACATGTTTTTATAGCTTTCGATCCGAGTTTAAATTCATAAAGCAATCATGCTCGAATTGCACTCGATTCAACAGACATTTGAAAAAGGTGGATAATCGCAAACCAAGAGACACAAACTATGTTACAACAAAATTCCAATTTCGCACCAACGCGAATTTGTGCTGTATGATATGCATAAATACGCATGCTCGACAAGTTTCAATAACATTCAACAACTCATTGCATCGAACTTAAATGAAAATCGTACAAATTCCTTCGGTCATCTAATAATTTCATAGACCTATAACCAATGAGCATTTGTTAACTTTTATCTTCACTTTATAGTCCCGTCTTATTCCATCTTAAATCTCTACTAATTTTGACTAGCCGAAGTAAGATTTCACCGCAAAATATGCCATACACAAATTCGTGATATACTTTACCAGATCGAACTTTTCGCGATGAACTTGTGACGATGAAATTAATGACTTTCGTGCGCATTGCGTATACTGACCCTGTCTATGTTCGCAAACAACATCAATATAATAAGAACAGCCATTACTGATCTTTCCAGTGAGATTTTACAGTGATAATTTACAGTGTTATAATAATAATTAAATCACTTAAATAGCATTTCAGTAAAGAACACACTGACTATACTTTAGAGAGTATGCTTCCGAGCACATTTCCAGATATCGGTCGTTTTCGCTAGCTGGAGACGAATCGTAATCATTCATATCACGACAACTATAATATCGTAACCATTTACGGCTTATGATTACGATTGAATCGTACAATCGAAAGTTGTACAAGCTATACAAAATATAGAACGTCGGCTAAAAGTCGGCACAGAATACATGTAACAAATTGCGACTCGTCGCAAATCTGCCGGAGAATTTGGCCAATTGAAGGCGGTCAAAATATATATGAAATAGAGGGGAGTGGGAAGAAGAGAGAAACGGCAAGCTAAGGCTGCAGAATCGCGTTCAATCTCATCACGTTAAGCATCGTCGGCCACTCATCTCCTTCATGCACAACGTGTGCCAGTTGTTACACGCTGCGACGTCAGTGACCCAAATAAGTCATACGCCGCTAGTTAGTAGAGGAAAGAAGAAGAAAGGAGAGGAGAGGAGAAGAGAAGAGAAGAAGAAGAAAAGAGGAGAGGAGAGGACAGAGAAAAGAGAAGAAAAAGAAGAAAAGGAAAGAAACGAAACATGCTTGTCGAAGCTATTAAGTTAAATTTCTTAGGTACCTTAAATTTCTCCTCAAGAGAAGCATGTACTTGTAAGATACGCATTCTTCTCTGGTGTGATACGAAATTCCGAAAAAGCAAGATATAACAAATCTAAATCTGAATATTAAAACCACTAAACGACAATTCTTTTGTCACAATTAAATTTCAAAAATTATTTAGCAAAATAATCATTTATTTGCTGTTCGTGAAGAATTACATATAGGAGAAAAGTTTCTTCTTTACTCGATAAAAGTCGATTATAGTGACGCAATGATTTTTTAGAAGAAAGAGATCTGAAAGATACTGAAAAAAAACAAGATGGAAAGTGGTTACTGATAATATATAGTGTAAGAATACCGCGCCGAAATTTCGCTACATTAACTCGCTCGTAATAAATATTGCTCATTGTTTTATTTGCTTCAGCGAGAGAGCCACTCGCGAGTGAGATTCGTTACTTCAATGCGCGAAGGATTCAAACTATTTCGAGTCGGAAGAGAATTACGAGATTTTAGCAGCTAGAGCAAAAGACTTGTAGATCAATCTTACACTTGCATCGAAAGAGAGAGAGGGAGGAGGAGGAGGAGGAGGAGGAGGAGGAGAAGGAGGAGAAGGGAGAGAGAAAGAAAGACACACACACACACACAGAGAGAATTTGTATGCGTATGCGTGCGTACGTGCGTGCGTGCGTGCGTATGTGTGCGTACGCGCGCCCAGATGTGTTACTTTCATTTACCTTTTGCTCCGTCGTAACTTGGACGAGTCGTCCCTCGCGTAGATCCCTTGCACGAAGCAAAGCATTATAGGTTCCCTGGGAGGATTGTGCACCTTTCCCATGCACTTCTTGAAATTCCCGGCGTACCGGACTTCCGTCTTCCCGCGATAATAAAAATCCTAACGCGATTCACCGTGGACCGGACGTCTCCGGGAGTCTCGCTCTCGAAGGCACTTTCTTGTTCCCAACAACGTGTCGAGATTTGTTATTATTTGGATAGATTAAATTCAATTTCCTATAATTTATACCAGAGGCTTGGAATTGGTGATATCTCAGTCGACGATTCGGACTTGAAAATCCGGATAGCCAGGATCGCCAGGATCAATGACTTCGCTGGAAATCTTAGCGGAACGGCTGATTCGAAGGATCTCGATCAGCTGACTCTCCGGTTCTTTCTGGAATGCCTGTTCTTTACGAATCGACTCGGCTATTTCTCGAAGCCGATGAACGAGACGAAGAACTGCGCCGCCGTCGTTGCCGCCGTCGCCGAGGGGTGCGAGGGTATGGGTGTGCGTCGCGCCCTTAAGGTAACGCCACGCGGTTGCCAGGCCAACAACCAGGAAAGGGCAAAGCACTCGCCGATGCGTACTAACGACAAGAAGGCACGAAGCCTGTGCACTTTATTGATTCTCTTCTCTTTCTCTCTTCCTAGCCATCCTCTCTCTCTCTCTCTCCCTCTCTCTCTCTCTCTCTCTCTCTCTCTCCCTCTCCCTCTCCCTCTCTCTCTCTCTTTCTTCGATAAACGTTAGTTAAAACTCGAGAGAGTCATCGTCATTAACAGATTCTGTTCTCACTGATTAGAAACTGATCGGATGTCAAACCGATCGCTGTATCAAAAATAAGCAGCATCAATATTCTGATACCGGCAATATTGGTTCGACATTCCGAGATACTTCATAGTCAATACCCTATTCTTCGTTTCCGACTTTAGTGCATTCATACATTGATTCGTCGGTTTAGTCGCGACAGGTATCAATATTTTACAGTATAGTTGGTTGGGCTTTTCTCTGTCAGTCGCTATCAATCGGCCGAGATACTTCGGGGGTGCGATTATTAGGATGAAATAGATAGAACAACTGCGAGAATAATTTCGGTTGCTGCATCGCAAGCGAGATCTTTCTTATCTTGTGAATGACGTTTCGGCGCATAGAAATTTTCTTATCTTGATATACAACAGCGCGATACCTGCTAATGACTTCACGGGAGCATCCGACGAAGAGCTGTGCGGATTTTCCTTACAGTTTTAGCGCACCTCGTTCCTCGAGGCATGCGCGTATCCGTCCTCCGATAATACCTCGTTCTATTTACGATCTACTTAACTAATCCTGACCAACTCTCGAGAGATAATTCGCAGGATCATCTCTAAGGGTGACTACTTAAGTGACATAAGGATATTTAAGTCCTCGCTTTACCCCCACAATCTCGAGTAGTCGTTCGATTTACGTCACGTTTTTTATCCATCGCAGCTTCCGCGAAATCTGTTCACAGGATATTGATTGAAAATCGTGAATATCTCTGTACCCTCCCTCCCTCCGACAACACTCAAAAGCCTTCAAATCGCTGCATTCCGTCCTTCCGAACAACTCACTCGATTCGGACACTAAACGAAGCCAAGTTCCATCTTGAAAATCCAAATTCGATTAAAATCAACGCAACATCTCGAAACTGCCGGTTCGCGCCAATCCGTCAGGATTTCCGCCGAGGTCGTCGGGGGTTAATGCTCTCTCTCTCTCTCTCTCTCTCTCTCTCTCTCTCTCTCTCTCTCTCTCTCTCTCTCTCTCTCTCTCTCTCGATCGATCAATCGATCGATATTGTTCCAGTAACGCGACACCGCGCAAATTCTTGAAAATTCGGAATGTGCGACGAAGAAAGAGAAACGTTCTTTCCCTCGTCTGCGAAAGAAGGTGAGCACGCGGTCGTCGCGACACGACACGAAAGACAAGACGACGTGAACGAACCGTGTCTCTGTCCAACACTGGTGGAACGCCGCCTCCAATCCGCAGAGTTTCTCCTCTTTCCACGCCGTCGTCACTGCCGCCAACGCCACTACCGGCAGCGGCGGCAGCGGCGGCAGCGGCGGCGGCGGTGGCGGCGGCGGCGGCGGCGGTAGTACCGCTCGATACGTCCGCTCGTTGCCCGTCTCTTCCTATACCGCATTCGCCCTAACTCGGCAATCTGACATCGAGCCTCACACGTGTGTGCATGTCTCGATACACCTGCGAGCACCTTTGTTCATTGCATCGAATCTGAAGAAGCAGCGGCTGGCCGAAAAGCAAAGAGCTACCGATAAGCTCTATCAATATGGCTCGGAAAAAATGATTGGTTGATGTGACGACGTGCGAACCACACGCGTTTTGATTGAAGGAAACGGAATTTCTGGATCTTAAAAACGAGTTTGGCTCAAAAGCCAAAAAGGGACATTTTCAGGCTCGCGGATTCGCATTCGAGTACGAATGCACAAAGAGTTTGACTATCTCGGTAAAAAGGAGTATTATTCTTCTAAAAGTTATAAAGCTATATTCTCGCTTTTCGACTTTTCAACCTTGCAACTAAACGCGATAAAACAAACGGTAGCGATTAATTAACGTTCTCATGATCGCTGAATTAGATTCACGACCGACCTCGAAGATTTAACTCCTTTTTATCATTAGGAGATTTGAAAAGTATATTTATGTGTCAGTGAATTTTTTCTCTTCTTTAACCCTTTAACATCCGACTTTTTTATAAGTGTTTTAAGAATAAAATTTGAGTTTTTTTGAACTGAGACTATAAGTAGTGATAACAAAAACAATATCAGAATTTTATATCTACGAAAAACTACCTTCTGAATAAATGAGTACATGAAGTTTCCGCTTTTCGTTTGTTGATTTCGTTAGTTTGATTTTTTTATCGCTCGTTTTTTGTTTATTGATAAATATGACTTGGATCCTAAAAGCATATACGAAATGAGCAACCTATACAGAGAAAAATGAAGGGTAATCTATACAACATAACTCTGATAGTCAACTTGACATTTTTGAGCTGAAGTTTTATTATATTTGTGAGTGAAGTTTATCATTCAGAGCGTCAATCTTACTATTTCAGAAGAATATCTTATAGATCACCATTTAGATAGTCAATCGTCTCTTCATTTTTCGCCACATAAAAAATTGTAGATCACCAGGTTTCACGAAAATAACTTGTTTTCTTGATTTTCGTGTCCACCATATTGGATTCGCCATTTTGAATTTCTGTATTCGTTTAATTTCACATTTTGTATCTGAGAAAGCTTCCAAATGTATAAAATTATAACAGATACCAATCTATTCATTTATAGTGCACTTCTAGATGTCAATAACAATGGCTATTTGGAATTTGACAAAACATATTATCATTAAAACTGACCTAAAAACAGATTCTCTTCGAATCTACATACAATCTATATACCATTTTTTAGAAAAAGAATTCACTTTTACAGTGATGCAAAGAAGACGAAAATATCTCCTTTTTTGACTAAGTTATGGATTCTTAAATGCATTTCTGGTAACTATAGTTACCAGTAGGCGTTAAAGGGTTAAATCGATGTGAAATGTATGAGGTTACATATCAAATAATTTCAAATTTCTCGAGATAAAATTTTATGAAACAATTTCATCTATATGATGAGTCCTGTCATGCTTCGTATACACTCATTGAATAATAATACGATATAAAGATGTTATCGTTTCATTTTGCTTGAAAAATATGAGGAATTTGAAATTACTTATTGTGCAGCCCAATATAATCATAAAACGGATTAAAAACGCATGATTTTTGAGATTCGACCCATCCACCCAGTAAGGAATCGGAGACGAATCAGAGAAATTCCGGTTGAGATGAAGAAGTGATGTATTATAATATGTGCTTCTGATGTGCAAATGAATTCAGATTTGGCACGCTTGGAAATTCCAGGAGTTTTGTAGTTGAAAACGTGTACATCATTATTGCTGACTGAAGAGAGTTGAGGAATTAGCGTGGGCGGATTCTACTCGCGATACAATTTTGCAGCAACAGCAGTAATAAAGTTCTGGCACGTCTCGTCGATACGCAGCACGCGAATAGTTTGACGTGTACAGAGAGCCAAGAGATCCAATCATTTAAATAAATCATCGCAAACCGTGCAGTGTCGCACGGCTTGCTTATAACTCTTTCTCTTTCCTTCTTTTCCTTCTTCCTGGTAAGAGGGGATTTCGTGTGAAACGCGAGAATATTGACTATGTCTCACTGGTTAAATCATACATCGTGCAAGGAGTTGCAATCTACGCACTTGTAGCAAACTTCGAAAGTAAATCACGATTAAGAGAGACAGTAAACGCGTAGTAGTTGATTGCGTTACGCCACTTACGCTCCATATCGTTTTAATATTTATCCACCGCGACTTTGATCGCATGTAAACTTTAACGCTATTTGTATATAATTTCGTGTCTCACAGGGAGAACATGAGTGTGTTATTCCCGAACGATATTCTTCGACCGTTATTTTCCACATACGTCTTTCTACTTCAACAAAAGACATAAGTTTTATACATGCTTTGTCCATTGTGGTCTGTTTTCCGCGATGCCAATTGACTATCGAGACGCCGAGTCGTTTACCATAACTTTGTCATTTATCATAAACATCCCAGGTATCATATATTTCGATAGTTTGAATGTTAACGGGAGATTAAGTATTGTAAAATAACGCGCAATATTGATATTATGACGTGGAGATTGTTAAATTAACGAATAAGTAGCGTAACACGGGGTACTCTCCAAGGCGCGCCTCGCCGGCTATAAATTACGTAGCCTCGAATTAATGACATGCGTACATACAAATGTGTGTTTGTAGCAGTGTTATCAACAGATCGTAGACTAAACGATTTAAAATCGTTAAATTATTTGTAACAAATTATTAAAACAAATTAATCATATTTGCTAGTAACTAATTTCTTTATTAATTGTTACTTCTTAATTGTTTATTTTTGGAAAAGAAATGTTAACAACATTAATTTTTAACATTTTGTGGAAAACAAATACTATTGACTAAAGTTAATAATTTTGGTAATATGTTGATAACTGTCATAAATATAGTGAATAAAATTATTTTCGCAATCTGTCACTCGACAGCAATATTAATAGCAGTGACTAGTTATTTGCTCAAGACCGGGAAAAGATAGTAGGAACAATATGAATAGCGAAAAACTAATAACAGAAATGTTTTTAGCAAAATTATATTCTCTAAGAAATAATTTACCGAATGTTTCTAACGGAATATATTTTTTATTTGTCGTTAATATTTGTATATTCCGCCTTGTTAAAAGCATATTAGTTAGATACATTCAGTAAATTATTTTCTGAGGAGAGAAAGAGAGAGACAGAGAGAGAGAGAGAGAGAGAGAGAGAGAGAGAGAGAGAGAGAGAGAATATGGTTTTGTTAAAAATATTTCTTTTATTAATATTTTATATTATATATATGTGTGTGTGTGTGTGTATACAGGGTATTCGAAAAGATATGTAAAAAATTTAAGGAGATATTCCTCGCGCCTGAAGGATGAAAAAATGTTATATGGACGTATGTGCGGAAATGCTTATTTCAGGAGTTATGTTGAAAATACTGTTAGCTATATTATTTACACAAGGAGAAATTTAGAATTAATTATTGTAGACGACAATCGTTTAA